TTATTATAGTTCTTCCCTCTTCTGCTTTTTCCGCTTGATTATTTAACATTTTTGGAATGCTATTAGTGTTTTCTGCTGTGAAGACTGATTCAAAGTATTTATTCAGTTCCCCAACCATTTCCTGGTTCCTCTTTATTGTCTCCCAGTCTTATTCTCTAAGAGCCCCATGTTACACTAGTACATTTATATCTTTGCAGCCCATATAACCCACAAGTCAGGAATCCCAAACAAAATCCACCTTCTGGAGGAGCGGAAGACAATGTAGTGGTAATATAATTGGGCTATTTTAATTCAGAGTATTGGGTTCTAATCTACTGGGGACTTGGCTTCAAATTGCACCAAGGCTGATGGTGAAAAGGTGACTTCAATAGAATTCTAGAATTACAATTTATTATGTAACCATTGGTGTAAAATCCTAATGTCCTTTACGGAAGGAAATCTGTCTTCCTTGTCTGCTCTGGCCAACATTTGCTTCCACAGCAATGCAGTTGACTCTTAACTGTCCTCTAGGTAGTAAATCTTGGCCATTCCGATCTTGAAAGGGTTTCGGTTAATTATGCATTATGATCATGACATCAAATTCCTAAAGCTGTCTGATTTTATTTCCACCATTTCTGTTTTGCTAAATATAATTATTTTCATAAAGCATTTACTTCCAAAAGATTTTTCTCCCCAGTTTAGTCTTTCATGTTACTTTGATAATAGATTTTAACATATACATCAGTATCCATCAACCAGCTTTTTACTGCACTGTTTTCTGTCCTTTATAAATACATGGACACAATGCAAATTCCACTGGATTCAGGAAGAAGGGCACAACTTTGATTAAAAGCCTAATTTTGCTAATGAGTCCTTTCCTTTTATTCAACACAGGTGTGAATGATTCAAGTAAAAGATTTAACTTCAGGTCTTCACTGGAGTGGAACTTTGGAGATCATCCATAATCTAGAGGGATGTTACACACTGTTACATTTTGTGCTGAGGAACAAGGTTGTCAAGATACAATTGAATTAGACTATAAATTAAACAGGCTAAATTCTGAGAAAAGACGTCACAGCATGAAGCTCCGGGGAGATTCAGTAAAACAAGGGGATGAAAGAACTACAAAGTAATCTACAAAATAGCACTCGAACCAGAAACAAATTTCTTATTTAAAAAAAAAATCTATTTAAAAGGACTAGAAAAATCTAAAATAAAAGAATACCCACAGGCAGTAATTAAATAAGGACATTAGACTGATATCAAAAGGAAAGAAACAGAGTGTAGTGATGGGGACAAAGTCGGCCATGTGGATCTCATAGAATATGAGTTCTCCAATTGGGGCTGGTAAACTGATCCAATCATGGAGTCCTGACTGACAGATAAGAACAGGAGTGCAGGGGTTCTGCCTAGTCTAGGAACCTGTTCAGTGCTAGCTGGGTCAATGTCATGTACTATGCGCATGTAAATAAAGGGTGACTTGGTGATGGCATACCAGCCTTCATGGAGTTATTTCAATGGTGATGGGTGACAAACATGCCCCCAAAGAGACTTGCTTGCAACAGTTGTCTTTGAATTCGGCTAAGCATTTCTGGCATCATGCTGGTATTTGGGAAGCTTGAGTCGTTTGATCCTACTGTCAAAGACTGCGCCCAGCATGTGGCAAGGAAGTGTTACTTTTTCTGAGGCTAATGACATTGGGCAGATGTAAAGCAATGAGTAATTCTCCTGACTGCATGTGGACCAACAGATACTTCAGTTATTGGGAGCCTAACTTTCCCTGAGGCACAAGATACTAAAACCTTTCAAAAGTTGACGGATTTAGTTAAGGAATATTATAACCCCAAGACTCCTCTAATTCTGAGACGCTATTGGTTTTATTTGACAGTTCAAGAACTAGGGGAATCCGTATCGGGATTTTTGATGAGGTTAAAGTGACTGGCAGGGACATGTGATTTTGGTTTAACCCTAAATGAGATGCGAAGAGACTGCTTGGTATATGAAATTAATGACGTGACCTTGCAAAAGCACCTACTAACTGAAACCCAAATGGACATCAAGCAGGCAGTACAACTGGTTTTGTCAATAGAAAATGCGGCAAGTGGAGTTTGAGTGACATGATATGCTGATGGAAGTGGACACCCTCGCCAGGTTGACTGAGCTTGGGGAACATCACTTGAGCAAATGCGATTGCATAGCCTCACTCAGGACATATCCTGAATGGAGGGGCTCTAGGTCAGCCTAAAGTAAAAGCCAAGCCTCAGCCAAACAGTTAAAATTTTCATGAGGATCCAGGCAGCAAGCCATTGTGGTTGCAGCCGGTATGCAAATATGAAACAGCAAAAGAATGCCAATGATGCCCAAATTGAGTAAAATAACACACAGGCCAGTATCCAGGAGAAGACACATTCTGGAAAGTCTACCCACATCTAGTTTGGAACAGTTAAATTGCTTGGCAACATCTAAATCAGGACCAATCAAACTAAACATCTGGTTAAATAGTCACCCAGTTCTAATGGAGGTCGATAGCAGTACGGCTGTTTAATTGATTGCAGAACCAGTCTCTAACAAAATTCACTCTGGACTCCAACCCTAATGTTTGCACAAGACCTCAGCTAGACTGAGAACTTATACCGGGGAATCTTTACAGATTAAGGGTACAGTTTTGGTTCCAGTTTCTTATGGGAAACAGCTGATTGAGTTACCACTAATTGTAGTAAAAGACTCAGGCCCAAACTTGATGGGACAAAATTGGTTAAGAAAGATGCAATTTGATTGGCTCAACGTTTTTCGATTAGAAATTGCCTCCCCGAGTGCAGTCCTAATTAAATACCCGGTGGATTTCCATGAAGTTCTAGGGAATATCAAAGGAGCCAAGGCAACCTTACATGTTGACCAACAAGCAATTCTACAATTCTGCAAGTCCCACCCAGAGCCATTTGCCTTATGGGCAAACTTAGAGGCAGAGACCAGACGGCTGGAAAGCAAAGGAATCATCAAAATAGTACAATTTGCAGAATGGGTAGCACTGGTCGTATCGATTGTGAAATCTAACGGGTCGGTTCGCCTTTGTGGGGATTTTAAACAAACCGTGATTTGCTTTTCACAGCTGGATAAATATTCAATCCGTTGCATAGAGGACTTACAAGCAAAACTGGCAGAGGGTGCTGTCTTTCACGAAGCTATGCATATCTGCAATTGTGACTAAATGAGGATTCCCAGATGTATGCTACAATTGATACCCATAAGGGTTTGTACCAATATATAAGACTACTTTTTTAGATATCATCAGCCTGTATCATTTTCCAGCAGATGATGGAGAACTTTTTACAAGGTCTATCACAGGTCGCCATTTATCTGGATGACATGATAATAACAGGGAAGAAAACATTTCTGAAGAAGGGTCTAGGCCCGAAACATCAGCCTTCCTGCTCCTCTGATGCTGCTTGGCCTGCTGTGTTCATCCAGCTCTACACCTTGTTATCCTAAGTGACCGAGTTAGGTTACAGAGTCAGAGTCAACAAGACTGGGTTATATCTGTTGGAAGATAAAGTGAGGGCAATCAAAGGTGCCCCAGCTCCCATTTCTGTACCGGTGCTTAGGTCTTTCCTTGGGTTAGTGAATTATTACAGAAAATTCATATGTAATGTGGCCTCAATCCTGGCACCCTTACACTTGTTATCAACAAAGGGTCAGTCTTGGAAATGTTCTCATAGCCAAGATGTATCCTTTAAGGACGTGAAGAAGAAGCTATTGTCATCTAAGGTATTGGCACACGATGATCCCAAGTGATAACACAGTGTGGAGCTGGAGGAACACAGCAGGCTAGGCAGCAGCAGAGGAGCAGGAAAGTTGATGTTTTGGGTCAGGACCCTTCTTCA